CAACTTTATTAGAATATAAAAAGAAAGTATATTAAATAAAATTAAAGATGTTTTAAAAAAAAAAAGACAAAAAAAAAATTTTTTTTTTAAATATTTTATTTCATTTAATTTGATTGATTGACCCGAATTTTATCAGGTCGGGTCAGGTCACAGGTTGACCTAACCTGATTCAGAACTCTACATTGGATAATAAACATGTGTGAACAGACAAAATTATCATTGATATGGAGTCTAACCATAAGTGTTCTACACATACGCTTCAGACAATAAAAGAGGATTTTAAAAAGAAGAGTAGAGTAATTTAAAATGTTATATTTTTTGATTTTTTTGTAAGTTTGAATTAAAGAGAGACTATTTGTATATATTATAATATTGGAAAGAGAAGGAGATAAAAATATAACTAATAAAATAGGAATAATTTCAATATAAAATGAATTGGATTAAATAGAAATAATAGTTATTAAAAATAAAAAATTTAAATTATCATGTTTAATAAAAATAAGAGTTAAACTAAGATTAGTATATAGATTATTAAAATCAAAAAAATAAGAACTATTTATATTAAAACTCTAAAGTTTGAGTGTTGTTTAGATGTAATAAATAAAGTTGTTATTGAAGATTTAAAAGTTGTTGATATGTATTTTGATTAATAATCAATTTTTTGAGAAAGTTTGTATTATGAGAAAGTTTCTAGAAAATTATATAGTTTAGAAGGTATTATATTATAAAATTTGTTATAGAGAAAAAAGATTTAATTTGATAGTATAAATAAAGTGTTTCTAGTTAAATAAATATGATCTATTAATCTTATATTAATTCTATTAAGGTTATTAACATCAATAATATTGAGTAAAATTCTATTTATATAGAAAGCAATTTTTAGATCAATAGTATTTAGTAATTTTAAATCTAATTTATCATTATTTAAATTATGATGATAATCAGAAATGCTATATAAGTATGTTGCTTTTTTGAAGAGAAATGTAAGTTATGTATCAGATTATTTTTACAAAAATGTAGAATAATATTGTATATAATTAAGAAGAAATTTTTATTAAATATCTAATAATTATTTATTGATAATGTAACCCAAATGATTTTCAAGAATTTGGAACTATGACGCAGTAAAGTGATCTGCAAATGATCATTATGTGAATTGATCTGCAAGAATTAATGACACAATAGTCGGCAAAAGGTGATCTGTGAAATTAACCAAATCGGTTAATGAAGAAATGAAGTAATAAATCATTAGCCCATGATGATACATGTAACCTTTAAACTAGAAACTCCAAATAGGAACTTCAAAGAGAAACTAGTCAAAGGCTAAGTATAAGGATGTAGTAATAATTTAAGAACAATATAATTATATTCTCTACATCTCTTCACGTATATATATATCATAGTTAAAGGACTATTGTATAACGATTAGGTAGTCATTACTCAATTATTACAACAATATTACATAGAGAAGATGAAGGAATTATTACATAGTTTTATGCAATAGATAGCAATTTAATGTAGAATTTTATTATAAATAAGCTGAGTTTTTCAATAGAAATTTAGAAAGTTAATTTTATAAGATAATAAAAACTCTTTGCTAAATTGTCTCATAACAAATAAATTGCTTTGTATCAAAACCTGCTTTGTGTCAAACCTTAGTTAAGTAATTGTAAATTATTTAACGTCATCAATCCTGCTTAGTGTCAATCCTGGTTTAAGTAAAAAAAACCTCAAATTACTTAAACGTTATCAACTATGTTAAAGTCATCAATGAATTAAAGTATTTGATATTATAAATACTTTAAGCTGTACGTCACTACTTGGTTATAATAAATTATTATAACGTCATCAAGGTAATTTCTTAACTTCTTAAGAAATTACGAGTCACCTGAAGTGGATTGGAAGTCATCATACTTGCCAATTCTGAAACTTAACTGTGAAAGAATACTGAAGTCAATAATAGCCCGAATTAACCAAAGTCTCTCCCAAAACTTAATAAAGATTGACCTAAATCTTGCTGCTACTCAATTGATTACGTGTTTCAGTCCACCTAATCATTAGTTGGGTAACAGTTAGTATTATCTTAAAAAGAGGTTTAATTTGTTTTTCTAAAAGTAGTTTGAGGTTATAATAATAAGATGAGTCTAATTGTAACAACCTGTTACATATAATATATGTAACAATCTTAGAAAATAGGATTGGATTGACCAAAATTATAGCATAATGCTGACCAGTTTTTCAAATAAAATAATCTGTAATAAAATGGTTATCGGCATATGATATGTATTATTTTTTTATGATGTATTTTTATAATGCTAATGTGAATTAAAGATAATTTGTTTATTTAAAAAATCAAGAACATTTTTCCTACAATCTTTTATTAAAAGAATTAATATTCAACTGCAACTATGCTATATTATCCACATAGTCTGTAAAAAATTAGCAAATCTATCTTAGCTAATTAGATATCTTTTGCCTACAATGCTTTTTTTAACTCTAAAAATCCGCCCTAACAAAAAAGATGAAAAAACAACCAATTTTCCCGACCAGCCCATTCTACATATCCAATTATCCCACCCTCATTTTCGTCCAAATTCGCTAAGAAATTTAGAAATATATTCAGGATTTCGATTTCATATTATGACTTAAAATATTAAAAATTGATTAGATAAAGGAATACAATGAATGAATAAATAAAAAGAATGAATACTTACCAATTCTGACACCTTGCACTATTATGTCTTGATTAACCACATGAAACACAAGTGTATTTTGCATGTGGTTTCTTTTCAGTTGACGATTTGTATCATTTTGTTTTGGGATGTTTTTTGCGTCATGATACTAATGGATTTTCAATTAGTTCAAATTTATTTTCTTTGTTAGTATCATCTTGATTTCACATTAATCTAGTATGTGTAATTATTATTTCTTTGTGCCGATTAATAAACTATCTTAGCCATTCGATAATCTCACAATGACTGTTATATTCAATAGCATATTGAGTTGCCTACCACGTAAGTCCCCACACTTCTTCATATTTGGCCTTCTTTTTGCTGCGCAATGTAAAACAGTAGTAACTGTTGTAGGAATAGTTGAAGGATTTGGAGTAAATATCATGCCCAAAAATTTTTCTATAGTCTCTTGGCTTATAAAGCAACAAGTATCTGTTTTTGTATTATTGTCTTTTTGATCATCAATATACCATTGCAAAGGTATCATTTGGATTTGAAATCCTACAACTATTGAAATCATTATTACTCGAAAATAGTGATGACAAATAATGCCACAGGATATATTAAACATGCAAGAACAAAGATAAGAAATAGGATCAACTACTACCACAAAATATACATGTTTTTTATTTTCAGGTCGCATATCTGTAATCTTCTATACTTCGTGAATGCTATTTTCACCAATTTCAGCAATCATCGATTTCAATAGAATAATCCCAAAATTAGGATGCAAATTACCTCAACTATATCTGGTCTAGCTTTATTCGCAATAAAGTAAAGGCATTGTGCCATTTCTAAGTGTTCAGCAGATAAGATATGAAGCGTCAGGTATTTAGACATCATTTTGTCAATATTAGGAAAAAGATCTTTGCTGACTGATGTGATTCCCATACAAGTCGATAGGGTACGGTATTCGAAAAAACAGTTTCATTACACTTCATTTCCAAGCTGTGCATTAAGAATACTGGCAAGATCACACAAGGTACTATTTGCTCTTAACTCACATTTAATAATATTATTTAAACCCTCAATATGTGAAGTAGTTTGTACTCCTGCAGTAAATATCTTTGATGTAAATGCACGAGCTCATGCTTGTCGGCTAGAGTAGAGGGCTTTCATTAAATAATCTTTCACTTTGAGATATTTTTCGATAAGACTTGACCATTTTTCATAAAAACATTCTTCACATAAACTATTACAACATATAAAAAAATCACGAATAAAATTATTATATTGATCACCAAGCTTGGATTTGAGATTTTTCAGTAGGTTTTCGCTAATGTGAAAAATACAATGGATTGGGTAGGTTGTTAAATATATTTGTCTGATTGTTGTGTCTGTAGCGAGATCTGCATCAGTAACGAATACTAATAGTTCAGTCATTGTTGCTTTTTTTTGTACATTCTAGGATCCATTTATAGGATTCGGTAGTTTCGTTAGACAAAAGAGCTTGTGCGATAAGACAAGACCTAGTATTATTATCATTGACAAGGAAAAGTGAAAGTGTCATTTGGTTTTAGCGGTATTGTCATTTAAAATAACATTATGGTATTCCAACTAAAGAGCAATCTGAGTTGGAAACATTCAAAAAAGTCAGGTAAGTATATTTTCTTTGTCAAGTTAAAATTCGACAAACCATCCAGAATCATCTAACTAATGTTGAATGAGTTTTTTTAATAAACAAGATACATCATATATTACTTTTGCTTTAAACTTATATTTTTGTATTGCATTAACGAGATCATAATCGAAAATATATAGAGTCAGGAACTTTGCTTTTAATAACTTTCGTTGAATAGTAATTGATAGATTTCCATGTTCTATAAGGAATTGGATTTCTTTGAGAACGTCATTATCAAATACACACTGATATTTTGTTGAGTACTCTTCAGTATTAGGAAATAGCGTGTAGTTATGCGAATTATTAAAAGTGGTAAGGACTATGGTTTGAGAATTTTAGAAGCAATTGTAATTTGCATTCCATACACATTGTTGGCATTTTGATTTATGATCTCGATATTTATTAATATCAATTAGTTTTTTTGGTTGATAATGGCCACCAAATTCACATCCAAAACTACGATGCTTAATACTGCCATTTTCATGATGAATTAACCGTTTCTTTATAATCACAAATCCATATTTTTTACCATAAGCTTCCATAATAGTGTCAACACTTTCCCATGATTCAAAGACACAACTAACACAAAGGTTTATAACTGGATTATAAGGGTAAAGTGATATGTCAGTAGTTTATTTAACTCTAATAAATAGATACAAATGAAGAAACTAATAATCTCACCTTCATTTTCTGGGTTCGGAGTTCCATCTTTTAGGTTCAAAGATGTTATATTTGAGTTCAGAGGTATTTCATCTACTAGGTTCAAAGGTGTTAAATTTGAGTTCAGAGGTATTTTGTCTTTTGGATTCATAGGTGTTATATTGTTCAACTCAACCTGTTCTATATTAGAAAACAATTAAATAGATATATTAGTAGAATCGATTTTTTACTTTTTACTTTTTACATATATAAAGTATTTACATAGCATAATCACAAAGTATCAAGAAAGAAGTATCATCTTGAACTGATTCTTGAATATACAATTTAGACATAGTTTTGTGAGGTAAAAATGATCGCAATGCAAAAAAAAGTGAAGTAAAAAAGTTCTCGATTTGGGATTTGATGACTACTATATAAAAGAATGATTGCAATGCAAAAAAAAGTGAAGCAAGAAAGATTTCTATTGGAGGTTTGACTGCTACGACTGTAATGTAAAAAGAAGCTAATCTACACAAAAAAATGGCTGAAATGTAAAAAAAAAGCTGAAGCAAATTACTACAATTCTGCTTGTTACAATATTTGTATACTTTATTAACTATTTTTTAGTCTTTTTTTTTTTAGCTGCCTTCATTACCAAATTATAGGGTAAGTACCTTTGTATTAGAGATGTTAAACGATCCTAAACAGTCCTAAAAGTCCCAATAAAATTTGCCAGTTCTAGAGAAGATTTTTATTTTACTAACATTATATTTTAGTTTCTAATGATAATTTATTAATTGAATATAAATTAAAAATATATATTAAACTTATGCGGAAACCCAGAATTTTAATTTTTGAAACTTAGGACCTGATCCTAAGAACTGGATCTCACCTTGGCGGTCCCATGTTAATTATCGATTCCAAAGTTCATATTTCTTTTATAAGTTATTCATAAAATTTATTATTACA